TTTTTCTTTTTTGCTTATGTGGTGCTGAGGAATTGAACCCAGGGCCTCATGCATGCAAGGCAAGCGCTCTACCACTGAGCCACCTTCCCAGCCCTGGAGGGTAATTGTTAAGAGTCTACAGACTTTTATGCCCCAAATGGCTTTGAATGGAGATCCTCAGATCTCAGCCTCCTAAGTAGTTAGGATTACAGATGTGAGCCACTGGCACCCAATGGGGCAAGACCATCTTTACATCCTGTGTAGGAGGCTGTGGTGCTACCCTGCTCCTTACCTGCAATGATCAATTTTGGGTGGAAGAGGCGGGCATTCTCCTCCAGCTGGTCATAGTTGATGTAGCCAGAGTCTGGGTATACCTATGGAGTCAGGGAGAGACAGACACAGGGTCAGCTGCTTCCACTGGACACTTCATGCCTCCTGCCCTCCCACTTGAACCAGCTCTACCTGCCACAACAACAGGAAGGATGACCTAGGCCCAGGACCTGAGGATGAGGAAAGACACTGGTGTATTTGGCCTACACAAAGGTATGGATAGCCAAGCATCACTCATAGACCCTAGGGGGAAAAGGGAGCCCTGCTCCTGGGCACTACTCTTGATGAGGAAGAACAAAAGCCCAGGTAGAATGAATAAGATTCAACAGCCAACCCCCATGTGGTTACAAACATACTCAAAACAGTTACCTTCAGGAACAAGACCAAAATACCACTCCTATTCCTATTCCAAGTTCCATGAAGCAAGAAAAATAAAAAGCATGAAGGCTGGGAAAAGAAAGGAAAAAAATGGACACTACCCATAGACAGCACTATTGTGCACCTAGAAAATCCAAAACACTCTATAGAGACAGACGGTGAGAGTGAAGTCATTGAGTATAGCACCCAAAACCAAAACTCAGGCTCAGGTTGTAGCTCAGTGGTAGAGTGCATGCTAAACATGCACAGGCCCTGGATTCCATCCCCAGATACTTCCATTCACCTCTCCATACCCAATGTCAATTATATATCTATATATAATCAATAAAAATAGAGAACAAAAATGTAGTAACATCAAATATGTCAGAACCCACAGATATCTAATACAAGATATATAAGACCTCTACCTCTACATAGACTATTGTTGAGAAATTTTAAAGTGTTATAGTAACTGGAGCAGTACATGTTGGTGGAAGCACAGATAACCAGACACAGCAGCAGAGTTGAAAGATCCATGTGTGAGCTAGGTCACTTGCTAGTGCCAGGGGTGAGGTAACATGGCAGTGCCATGAGGAAGAGAATGACCTTTTTAAGCCATTTAAATAAATGGCTCTAGGGCAACTGGATACCCATGGTAATATGTTGTCTGGGGGGCTCCCTCATATCAACAGAATTCCACTCTGGGCACACAGCCTAAGGACTTAGAATTCAAAGAGACACCGGCACCAATGTTCGCTGCAGCATTGTAAACAACGACCAAGACACAAAGCAACCTAGTGCCCACTATCAGTTAAAAGAGAGAAAACTCTCATTTGTATACACAGTGGAAGACTGAGCTACCTTTAAAAGAGTGATTCTGCCATTTGTTAAAACGATAAATGAAACCGTAGGACATTATGCTATGTAAAATAAGCCAGTATAAGACAATAAAAACCACACATTCTCACTTATATGCAGAACTGAGAAGAACTGAGCTCACAGAAGTAAAACAAATGATGGCTTCTAAAGGTTAGTAGGGGAAGAGGGAAAAATGAGGAAGACTGGTCAAAAAGTATAAAAAGTTGGGCTGGAAATGTGGCTTAGTGGTAGAGTGCTTGTCTAGCATGTATGAAGCCTTGGGTTCTATTCCTTAGTACCACATAAGCAGAAAAAGCTGGAAGTAGCCCTGTAGATCTCAAATGATAAAGTGTTAACCTTGAGCAAAAGAAGCTCAGGGAGCCGGATGCTGGTGGCTCACGCCTATAATCCTAGCTAGTCAGAAGGCTGAGATCTGAGGATCTCGGTTCAAAGCCAGCCCGGGCACTAGAAAACCGGGAATGGCGCTGTGGCTCAAGCAGTAGAGCGCTCGCCGTGAGCTGAAGAGTGCAGAGACAGTGCCCAAGCCCAGAGTTCAAGCCCCACGACCGACTGAAAAAAAAAAAAAAAAGAAGCAGCAGCTCAGGAACAGTGCCCAGGCCCTGAATTCAAGCCCCAGGATTGGCAAAATAATAATAATAATAAAAAGGTAGAAGAAAAAGGGCTGGGTCTGGTGGCATACACTTGTAATCTCGGCTACTCTTAAAGTGGAGGCAGGAGAATCTTGAGTTTAAGGCCAGCCTGCGCAAAGTCTGAGAGACCTTATCTCAAAAACAAAATGAAATAAGCAAAAAAAAAAAAAAAAAAAAAGGGAGGGGGGATGGGGCATGGTTTAGCGATAGAACATAGTTCAAATCCCTAGTACTGAAGTTGGGGGAGGGGGGAGTTTCTAACACAGAGAAGTAAATGGTAAGTATTTAAGAAGATGAATATGTTAATGGATTCAATTATTCCATAGTATATAAATGCATCATGGCTACAGGGATGGGGTAATTGGGAGTCACAATGAAAAAAAGCTGTTTGTGGTTTGGTTTCAACAGTGTGGTTCTCTCTCAGACACACGAGCTTGGTCAAAGACACTCTATCATGATGAAACATCAAGAGCTCACTCCAGTAAAAACATGGACACAGTGGGGTGCTATGGCGTACACTTGTAATCCCACTGGCTCAGAAGGCTGTGACAAAAGAATCACTTGAGCCCAGCCATTGGAATAAACTGGGTAACAGAGCAAGACCTCCTCTCACAAAAAAGGTTTAAACAACAAAAAAAGGATGTAATTGCTGGGCACTGGTGGCTTACATGCCTGTAATCCTAGCTACTCAGGAGGCTAAGATCTGAGAATTACAGTTCAAAGCCAGCCTGGGCAGTAAAGTCAGTAAGACTCTTATTTCCAATTAACCACCAGAAAACTGGAAAGGGTGATATGGCTCAAAGTGGTAGAATGCTAGCTTTGAGTGAAAAAGTTCAGGGACAGCACCCAGGTCCTGAGTTCAAGCCCCATCACCGACCCCCCCCAAAAAAAACGTAATTCTAATTCCATTTGTTTATTTTTGCCAGTCGTGGGTCTTGAACTCTGGGCCTGGGCTCCTTTTGCTTAAGGCTAGCACTCTAGCACTTGAGCCACAATGTCACTTCCGGCTTTTTCTGTAAATTGAAGAGAAGAATCTCATGGACTTTCCTGTCCAGGCTCCTGGCTTTGAACTGTGATACTTAGATCTCAGCCTCCTGAGTATCTAGGATTATAGGCATGCACCAGCAGCCCCCCAACTCTAAAAACAAATTTTTAATGCCATAGTTACCAAAAATATCTGTTGCTGCGCTCTTCCCGCCTTCTCTCTCTCTCCATACACACACACACACACACACACACACACACACACACACACACACACACACACACACACACACACACAAAATATCTTCTGAAAGTTTAAACATTTCTATTTATTTATGTTCTTGTCAGTCGTGGGGCCGACTGAATTCTGGGCCTAGGCACCATCCCTCAGCTCTTCAGCTCAAGGCTAGCACTCTACCACTTGAGCCACAGCGCCACTTCCAGCTTTTTCTGCTTATGTGGTGCTGAGGAATTGAACCCAGGGCCTCATGCATACAAGGCAAGCACTCTAACACTGAGCTACCTTCCCAGCCCTTTATTCATTTGTTGATCTTAGAACTAAGACAAAACTGCTTCTGGAAGCAATCAAAGGTATTTAACAAATTGTGGTGGGGCTAGCCCATAGCACATAGGAAACCTCTAGTGAGAGAAGGTAGGAACAGCCGACTGAACCTTAGTAGCAGATGTTATCTCATAAGAGATTGCAAAGAGGGGCTCGGAAGGTGGCTCAGTGGTAGAATGCTTGCCTCTCACATGCATGAGGCCCTGGGTTCAATTCCTCAGCACCACATAAGCAGAAAAAGCCAGAAGTGGCACTATGGCTCAAGTGGTAGAGCACTAGCCTTGAGCTGAAGAGCTGAGGGACAGCGCTCAGGCCCAGAGCTCAAGTCCCATGACCAGCAAATACCTGCCCAGCACAACAGCCAGCTAGAGCACTGTGGAAAGGCGAAGAGGTTGACGGCAGAGGCAGGTAGTCTGGGGAGTACCCCTGGTCCTCTTTGGATGGGAAGAGGTAGGCCACAGTAGCTGCAGAGGCAGGCCTCAGTAGCTGCCAAACAGGCCTGTCTTCTCTCTGCTCACTGAACCAAGTACAATATTCACAGCATACCCGGATCATGCAAGCTGAGCTTCCTGGGCCTATGCCAGCCACGTTCTAAGACCTGTCTCTCCATACCCTGCAGGCCACATCCAGGCACCCATTATACTCAGCAGGCTGCAGCTGCAGTTGAGGAAAACATTGAGAACTGGAGCACAGGACGTCATTTCCTAATGTCCAGAATGAACTGTTCAGGACTGGAGAAAAGCATGTAGCTGCTCAAAATGTCATCAAGAGGCTCCAGAAAACAAGTTGGTTAATTACTCTCTGCCACAATTCTTTCAACAGTAAAACTGTAGAAACAAGCTTTTGTGTTCTAAGTCCAGAGATACAGAATTCTGTAACTGTTTCAAGATTGGCCTTGGCCAATGAGATCTGTGATCTGTGACTAAAAACACCTAGGTCCTCCATGAAAACTGACCAAAAGTCACTCAAGCAAAACCAAACCCACGTGTAACTGCTAGAACTGAGTTAAGCCCAGAGCAGGCAACAGGATGCCATGAAGATCACAGTCTGCCAACATGAACATTGACTCTATTTTCTTAAAAGAACATCATCTATGATATTTAGCCACATATAAAGATTCAATGCCACTTTTTCTCGTGGCAGTAAACAAACCAGTAACGGCGCATTAGACAATAAGAAACATGAAAAGATGGTTCCTGGATATAAGAACCAACCATTGGACAATAAAGAACATTCACATTACTTATTTTCTATCCATCAAATTTGGTCTTTATGGATAAGTCACGATGCCCTTTATAAGCCTTTGCATCTTATGTGTATATTCTGACTCAATTGTTTACACAGAAAAGAGCCCCACAAAAAGGATTTGCACAGGGCCCCCACTCTTTAGATGCAGCCCTGGGCATAGGCTCCAATGGTCCTGGTTCCACTACTGGGCATTATGGCTAGCACTGGCTGTGACTGGCAAAGGACAGGTATGTGCAGTGGAGCCAGTGATGGATCCTTGGCAGAGACATTACTTGAGGAGGGTAGAGCTGTGCCAGCAGCTATTAGGGGGGTCTAGCTGTAGCTGACATAGTTGCTAGGAGCTGTTACTCCAATTGTTGCCCACAGTTCTGGGATGGTCACCATACTAATCAATATGATTCTTTTCTCAGTTGTGGCCATCCCCACCACCTCCCTTAGCCTCAGACTAGACCTTCACCTTCCTGTCCCAGCTGTCTGCAGCAGGTCCTGAGAGCCTGAGTGCCCAAGGAAGGACAAAAGTAAATGAAGCAAGGGCTACAATGCCACATAAACAAAACTGATCCCAACAGGTACACTAGATATCGGATGTTTTCTGACAAAAAGGAAAGCTCTGAAGATATAGTCTTACCTTATATGGCATGGACTCAAAGAAGATGGATGTTGCTGAGACTTTCTTCTTGTCAGTCATGAACCCATGGGTCAAATGGCCTCCATCAGGCAGGTCCAGGCCCATGATACGCCCATGGGGCTCTACCAGGGCAGTGTATACTGCGAAGTTTGCAGGGGAACCTGAAACAGGGAGGTCAGAGGAGTTGTGATGATTTCTACCATGAGACATTAAGTGGTATCCAGGAGACTGGCTATTAGGCAGCCTTACTAAGGACTGGTGAAACACACCTGGCCATCACCACAACTTTCCTAAGCATCAAGAGGGACTCTGCACCAATCCCGTAGAATAAGTGGAAGACAAGTCCAAGGGCAGAGCACTGTCTAGAAGGGTTAGGAGCTCAAGAGCAACAGAGGGGGACAGAGAGCCCTTTATTTTTCACTTTTAAAGTCTTTCTTTGGACTATCTCAAGGAACATCAGCCCAGGCAACTTAACACGAAGGGCTGTCAGGCCCATATGGGCATAGCAATCACCTGAGTATGGCTGGACATTGACCCCCCAGCACTTAGGGTCCAGATGGTAGGCCTGCAGCGCTCGCTTCTGACATAGTATCTCCAGTTCATCAACGAACTCATTCCCGCCATAATACCTATGGAGAGAAGCAGGGGCCCACATCCACTGAGCCTCCAACCTCTTGCCTAGCAGAGGTCCAAGCTCAGGTGTGGGCAAAGCATGAACAAAGGAAGTAAGTCTCAGCTCCTTATCTTGCCCTAAATTTGCTGAGAGGATCCAAAGAAATAGATGCTGTGAAAACACCTAGCTAATCTTCCAAGACACAAGGCAAAAGGTATTTATTCACAGTAGACAAAGCCCTGAATGTCACCCTTAGACTTCTATAGAGCTTCAGGGGTATCTCTAGACAGAATGGCAGGTGATTCTTCAAGGTGACCTTTCTTTTTCTGTTTCCATGAGAACATAACTACAGAAATTTACAATGCCAATGTCAAATTCAGTATTTTCAGCGGGACACCAGTAGTTCATGCCTATAATCCTAGCTACTTGGGAGGCTAAGAATAGGAGGATCATAGGCTGGGCTTAGAAAAATTTGCAAGCGGGGCTGGGAAGGTGGCTCAGTGGTACAGTGCTTGCCTTGTGCTTGCATGCATGAGGCCCTGGGTTCGATTCCCCAGCACAACATAAACAGAAAAAAAAGCTGGAAGTGGCACTATGGTTCACACAGTAGAGCGCTAGCCTTGAGCTGAGAGCTGAGGGACAGCGCCCAGGCCTAGAGTTGAAGCCCCACAGCCAACAACAACAGAAAAGTTTGCAAGCTCTATAGTTAGATACAATCTAGCATCTTAAATATGTGAAGAAAGACTGAGACTGGGAAGATCACAGTTCTAGGCCAGTCCAGGCAAAAAAGTCCCAAGCCTCCCATGTCAACAAAGGGAACCTAAATATGGTGACATATGTCTGTCTTCCTAAAAACTACTGGAAGCCTAAAATAGGCAGAGTGCAGTACAGGTGCCAACCTGGGCAGGACTCCCATTAAAAAAAAAAAAATGGAAAGGGCTGGGAATGTGGCTTAGTTGTAGAGTACATCCATCAAGCCCTGGGTTCTAGTCCTTAGTACCACATACACAGAAAAAGCCAGAATTGGCACTGTGGCTCAAGTGTTAAGAGTGCTAGCCTTGAGCAAAAGAATCTTAAGGACAGTACCCAGGCCCTGAGTTCAAGCCATGGGACTGGCAAAAATAAATACATACATAAATACATAAATTGAGAAATAGAACCAGGTGGCTGAGATCTAAGAATAACAGTTCAAAGCCAACCCAGGCAGGCAAGTCTGTGAGATTCTTGTCTCCACCAAAAAGCTGGAAGTGGAGCTGTGGCTCAAGTAGAACACTAGCCTTTAGCATGAAAGCTCAGAGACAGCACCCAGGCCCTGAATTTAAGTCCAAGAATTAGCACTAAAAAATAATAATTATCAAGAAATAGGGCTAGAGACATGGCTCAGCAGTAGAGCACCCACTTAGTAAGGTGAAGGTCCTGAATTCAAACAAGAGTACCCCCCCCCGAAAAAAAAACTTGAAGTTTTGAACAATTTTGAATTTTAGATGCTTAACCAGTAAGTCATTACAAATATTCCAAAATCTGAAATACTTCTGATCCCAAGCATTTCAGAGAACAATGCTGAACCTGTTCTATAGGTTCCCTTTCACTCTGCACAGATGAGACAACTCTCATAGTATCAGCCATTTCTATGGCTTCCCTCATAGGACAATGACCTTTTTCTTTCTTTTTTTTTTTTGGTCAATCGTGGGGCTTGAACTCTGGGCCTGAGTGCTGTCCCTGAGCTCTTCAGCTCAAGGCTAGTGCTCTACCACTTGAGCTACAGCGCCACTTCCAGTTTTCTGGTGATTTATTGGAGATAAAAGTTTCACAGACTTTCCTGCCCGGGCTGGCTTTGAACTGCAATCCTCAGTTCTCAGCCTCTTGAGTAGCTAGGATTACAGGCATGAGCCACCGGCGTCCAGTGACACTGACCTTTTCTAGACCGATGCTGGATTGCACTCCTTACAGAGTGGCCTGCTATGCCAGAGAGCCCCAAAAGTGACTGGTTTTTTTTTTATTTGTTTACTTTTTGTTGGTCGTGGAGCCTGAACTCTGGGCCTGGGTGCTGTCCCTCAGCTCTTCAGCTCAAGGCTAACGGTCTACCACTTGAGCCACAGCACCCCTTCCAGCCTTTTCTGCTTATGTGGTACTGAGAAATCAAACTCCAGGGCCTCATACATGCAAGGCAAGCACTCTACTACTGAGCCACCTTCCCAGCCTCCCAAAAGGGACTGTTAATGTGACTCTGAGTATGCTCACTCCAAGAACATCATTGGCATCAGGTTGGGAGTTGTAAGGGTTATGTGGAGAGCAGGAGTAGAAAAGAAATTCCACACCTGGGAAGCCTGTGGTTTTCTGCAACTTACACATTATTTAAATTCCACACTGATATAATATTTCACTATGCCAGAAATCACTCACCTCTGCCCAGGATACCCCTCAGAGTATTTGTTATTTAGGCAAGAGCCCAGGGCCTCCAATACTGCTCGGCTGGCGAAATTCTCTGAGGCAATCAGCTCCAATCCAATCCTCTGCCGATTACTCTCCTTCTTAATGATGTTGTAAACCTTATGTGAAGAAAACAAAAGCTAGACATTGGGACATTCCTGCTCAAAACTTTGCTCTGATCAAAGCTATAATCTAAAGAGAAAAGCTGCTACCACAGATCCACATTGTGCTCTAAAAGCTATTACCCAAACAACCACAATCAAGACTACTGTAACATGTAAGGTATAGAATGTGTCTCCCTCAAAGGCTTTAACATTTGAGAAAGAATCTGAACTCAGAAAGATGATTTAAGAGAAAATTATCTTCAACTCACTTTTGTTTTCTGGTGGTACTAGGGTTTGAACTCAGCACTTCATGCAAGCGAGGATGGTGCTCTTCTGCTGACCCATGTTTGCAGACTTCTTTTTCTATGCCAGTTCTGGGGCTTGAACTCAGGGCATGGACACTGTCCCTGAACTTTTATAGCAATCTACCACTTGAGCCACAGCTCCACTTTCAGCGTTTGGGTAGCTAGCAAGAGATAAAAGTGTCTTGGACTTTCCTGCCTGGGCTGGCTTCAACCCAATATCCTCAGATCTCAGCCTCCTGAGTTCTTAGGATTACAAATATGAACTACCAGTTGCCTGGCATGTGCTGGCTATTTTTGAGATAAGATCATGTGGGGCTGGGAAGGTGGCTCAGTAGTAGAGTGCTTGCCTTGCATGCCTGAGGCCCTGGGTTCGATTCCTCAACACCACATAAGCAAAAAGAAAAAAGCCGGAAGTGGCACTGTGGCTCAAGTGGTAGAGCGCTAGCCTTGAGCCTCAAGAGCTGAGGGACAGTGCCCAGGCCCAGAGTTCAGGCCCCACGACTGGACCCAAAAAAAGAGATAAGATCATGTTTCTGGCCCAGGTACAAGTCTAGCCTGTGATCCTATTTTTTGTATTCCACCATAGCTGGAATGACAGCCATATAGTAATATGCCTAGCTATAGGTTGAAGAACAGTCTATCAGATTTTTCTGCCTAGTCTGGCCTCAAACCACAATTTTTCTGATCTTAACCTCCCAAGTAGCTAGGATTATGCAAGTATGAACAACATGTAGCTATAGTTATAGCTCACATACTTTTAAATTTCATACATATTTTGTTTTTGGTATCTTTTCCTTTTTTTTCTTTTTTCAGAACTGGGGATTGAACCCAGGACAATGCACTTGCTTGGCAAATGCTTTTGCCACTGAGCTACATCCCAGCTCACATATCTTATTTGTATCCCATGTTCTTTCTTCCATGGACCTTATTTCTTAAAGAAAAAAAAATGTTTCAATAGATTCATACAGGGGAAAAATAGATCAGTGGTTGCCCAGAGCCGTGGTGTGGGGGAAGATTAGTGTAAATGCTAATAGGTTCTTGGGATACAAATGTTCTAAATTAGACTGATAATAAAAACATCCCCCTACTTAAGGTATTTCAACTGGCCAGGCATTTGTTGCTCACACCTATAATCCTACGACTCAGGAGGCTGGGATTTGAGGATCACTGAAGCCAGTCCGGCAGGAAAGTCCATGAGACTCTTTTTTTTGGCCTATCCTGGGCCTTGAACTCTGGGCCTGAGTGCTGTCCCTGAACTCCTCTTGCTTAAGGCTAGTACTCTACCACTTGAGCTACAGGACCACTTCCAGTTTTTCTGTGATTAATTGGAGATAAATCTCAGACTTTCCTGCCTGGAATGGCTTCAAACTGTGATCCTTAGATCTCAGCCTCCTGAGTAGCTAGGATTATAGGTGTGAGTTACTAGTACGAGGCTCCTGTGACTCTCATCTCCAAGTAACTACCAAAAAGCTGGAAGTGGAACTTGGGCAAGTAGAAGAGCACTAACCTTGAGTATAAAAGCTGAGAGACAGTGCCTAAGCCCTGAGTTTAAAAAAAAAAAAAAAAGAGGTCTGGGAATGTGGCTTAGGTAAAGTGCTTGCCTAACATGTATGAAGCCGTGGGCTTGATTCCTCAGCACCATATAAACAGAAAAAGCCAGAAATGGCACTGTGGCTCAAGTGGTAGAATGCTAGCCTTGAGCAAAAGAAGCTCAGGGACAGTGCCCAGGCCCTGAATTCAAGTCCCAGGACTGCCCCCCTCCAAAAAAAAGATATTTCAACTTTACAATGGTGGAAAAGCAATATGAATTCTGTAGAAATTACACATTTTAAATTTGGATCTCTTTTTAGGATAGAGAAGTAGTCCTGACTTTTCTTTTGATGCTGGACTGAAGCAGTAAGCAATAGCTCCCACTGAACACATGATTATAAGGAGCAACAACTGTTCCAAGCAGGCCTTGAACCCAGATCCTCCAATCTTTGCCTCCTGAATATTGGGATTACAGATATGTGTCAATATATATATATTTTTGTTTGGGGTCCGGTCGTAGGGCCTGAACTCTGGGCCTGGGCGCTGTCCCTCAGCTCTTCAGCTCAAGGCTAGCGCTCTACCACTTGAGCCACAGCGCCACTTCCGGCTTTTTTCTTTTTGCTTATGTGGTGCTGAGGAATCGAACCCAGGGCCTCATGCATGCAAGGCAAGCACTCTACCACTGAGCCACCTCCCAGCCCCTTAAAATTTTTTTTTTTGGTGGTGGTGGTATGATTTTGCTAGGCAAGTTCTCTACCACTTGAGTCATTCCCCCAGCCTTTCAGTCCATTTGATTTAGAATATTTTCCACTTATGTATTTATCAAGATATAACCTAAACTGAAGGGCTTCTGTATGACAATATTTCAATAAAACTGTTGTTAAGAATTAGTAAAGATGCTTGCAGGCATCTAAGCAGATACTCACCTGTACAGTATAAGAGTCAAACTCAATGGCCTCTCCTCTTGCTTTCCTCCATAGCACCTCTGTATAGTGCTGAGATCTGCAGGAACTCACACTGATATAGCTATATTTACCCTCAAAGGACTTTCAACCAGTTTCTAAGCACTGCCTCTCAATCTGGCGCTTTTTTTTTTGGTGGTGGTACTAGGTAGCAAACCTAGGGTCTCATACATGCTGGACTCTACCACATTACCACATTCCCAGCCCTATGATCTGACACTCTTACGATAATAAAGCTGTCCACAATAGTTAATTTAGGATTTGAACTCATGATTTACAGGCTGGGGGCACAGCTTAGTAGTAGAGCGCCTGTCTACTATGGGGGAGGCTTTAGACTCCATCCTTAGCAACATACACACATAACCAAACACTGAAATAAAGGGGTCTTGATGTCAAATTGTGTGAAAACCACACAAATCTCACCTCAATGTCGCTGTCCTTGAGTGGCTGCACCAGCATCTTATCATGGGAGGCCCATAGGGCAACATCCTTGTGGGCCCCGTTGACTGAAGCCTTCTCCATCACACTGGTTCAAAGTTGCCTAAAACATGAGAAAAGCATAGGTAGAATCCTACATTAAATTTAGACAATGCTCACAGCAATCTGGAAGTTCTCCTCAGTGACTAAAGTGCTGACAGACTTTATTAGCCTTTTCCTCAGAATGCTTGATAAATATGAGACTAACCTATTGCAAAACCACTGTAAGCAACATTCTGCTCCTCCTCTCTGACCCACCCCACCCTAAAGCCTCCTCCAATCAGGCCTTCCTACACAGTGAGCCCACCTCGGATCCCTGGCCACTTTTCTGGCACAGCCATCCCCTACCTCACCTCCAGTCCCCCAACTATACAAAGTTCTCTAAAGGTGAGAACAGTTCCTTTAAAAAAAAAAAATGTTCCATAATACACAGCACAAATGATCAAACAGAAAAACAAATGATGTAAAAGCAGATAGACTGGAAGGAATCTAGTTAGGCTTCCACAGAATAAGAAAAATTATTATTACTTTTTTTTTTTTTGGTCGGTCGTGGGGCTTGAACTCTGGGCTTGGGCGCTATCCCTCAGCTCTTCAGCTCAAGGCGAGCATACTACCACTTGAGCTACAGCACCACTTCTGGTTTTCTAGTGGTTTATTGGAGATAAGAGTCTCACAGACTTTCCTGCCAGGGCTGGCTTTGAACTGTGATCCTCAGATCTCAGCCTCCCGAGTAGCTAGGATTACAGGTGTGAGCCACCGGCACCCAGCTCAGAATAATTCTTTTTTTTTTTTTTTTTGGTTGGCCGTGGGGCTTGAACTCTGGGCCTGGGCGCTGTCCCTCAGCTCTTCAGCTCAAGGCGAGCGCTCTACCACTTGAGCTACAGCGCCACTTCCAGTTTTCTAGTGGTTTATTGGAGATAGGAGTCTCACGGTCTCTCCTGCCCGGGCTGGCTTTGAACCGCGATCCTCAGATCTCAGCCTCCTGAGTAGCTAGGATTACAGGCGTGAGCCACCAGCGCCCGGCCAGAATAATTCTTAATTTACCAACTTTTCAGATTTTTGAGTGGTTACACAAATACATAACAGGCAAACAACTGGAATACTTCTTTCAAGATGCTCACTAGAGCATTTTATAATTTAAGTGCAGTAGACAGCAACTCTTCATTCAACCTAGACACATCTGTCAGCCCCCAGCAACATGTACATGGGAGTTTTGCTGTAAGAAATGCTCTAAAACTGGGGCATGGCTCAAGTGGTTAGCATTTGTGAGGTTCTGGGTTCCAGACCCAGTACTGTCAAAAAAAAAAAAAAGCATCTACAAGGTACTGAATACCCCTGTCTTACTATATTCCTGGAACATTTTAATGTGCTCATTTTGGTCTCATTCCTAGTAATGAACTCAGAGAAGGAAGGTATTTTAGTACAAGCTGTACATCAAGTCCTTGTGGAGGAAAATCAAGGCCAACTGGGCTTCTGGGAAGCTGCTAGTTACAGTGCAATACTTGCCAGAATAAACATCTTCCAATGAGAGTTACAGGAGAATGTGGCAGGAGAATTGTAACTTTTAGGCCAGACTGGGCTACATGGCAAGACTCTATCTCAAAGGGGGTGAGGGGAGGAAGAAGGAATGGGAGAGAATATGAACATTACAGATCAGATTTACATGCTCATATTTCTTTCCATCCTTCTTCCTTTTCTTTTTTTTTTTGGGGGGTCCGGTCATGGGGCCTGAACTCTGGGCCTGGGCGCTGTCCCTCAGCTCTTCAGCTCAAGGCTAGCGCTCTACCACTTG